ATTGTACTAGTGATATGTTTTCCCTAAAAGGTAGTCAAGTAAATAGATAACCCAGAAAACAAAAATGTTTGTCCATATACCAGCTAGTGATTTCGGTTTATCACCACTGCTCCTTGTACCATGCTTGGGGACACTCTTCACCCTGGGTCCCTATTTTTAGGGTATTCTTTTTTGTATCACCATGTGTTCTCTGGGTATATGTTCATTAGCGATGTCCATTTCCTTACGGAGAAAGTGGATGTGTAAGATCAGGTTTGCATTTCAATCTGAAAACAGACATTTGTGTGTGGAGGAAATAACCAATCCAAAGAGCTCATCTCACTAAATGCACATAAACTAAATACAACAGGAAATAAGCTTCTAGAGGTAATGCTAACAGATGTAACTTCAGAATTAAAACCGTTAGCTGTCTAAAGGCATGAGAATATGCCCTCGGCAGCAAAGTCCGGTCATGTGGGATATATTATCACTCAATTAGTCTAGCTTCCTTTAAAAGTTGTCTTGTCATAAAGGACAGTCAAGTGTGCTTATGCATATTCAAGAAATCAAAATAATATTAGTTCATTTGTGTCCTTATTATTATTGTTATTATTTTTTTGATTGGATGATTGGATTTATGATTGGATTACTGCATTCCATTGTTTCTTATTTTGTAGTTGGCTTTATTCCTTTGATAACTATGTAACTTTAAAAAGCTAAAGATCTAATCTGTTCTTAGAAACGATAATTAGTACATATATTTAAAAAAAAAAAAGCCAACTCATTTCTGAGGGTAAACGTTTTTCCCAATGGAGTCTAGAGCTTTGACATCTTATTTTTAAATGATCAGAGCAATATGTCCTTTCCTCTCTCACAATCATTTAGAATGTGCCTTTACAAAAATAAGCAATTTACTGATTTGGCCTTTGAGCATTTATATATATATTTACCTTATGTCTTTTTTTTTAATTTAACATGAATTTTTAAATATACATTTTGTGTACTGAATAAAAGTTATAAAAAAAGTGTCTTAAAACTGAGAAAATAATAGGAGAATAGAGTTATGTGTCACCATATGGATTGACTGATAAAATATGTCATTTAGTGAAACTAGTTCATTCTTATTATTGTTGTTGCTGTTTTTTTATTATTATTATTTTAGCATTATGGAAAATCAACAGAATATATTGTTCCAAAGGTTATTTAAGGTTTTTATTTATTTTGAATAATCAGCGGGTCAACCATAACTTACAGAGCAATATATCTAATCAAAAGAAGCAATTGCCGAAAGAGAAATTATTGTTTGCCTGCTTGTAATCAACCAATTTTTGACTTTATAGTCCCACATAGAAAGATTAGTTGAGAAAATCATAATTATATATAAAGCTACCCTTTCAGATAATTAATTTTCAAGACCATACAAAAGACAAAAATAAAATGAATTGAAGAGGGACCAGAAAAAAATTTTACAACACTTTGGACTCCTCCCAATTAGGACAAAGTCCTCATTGCTTATTCTGAACAGGGAAGCCTATTAATTTCTGCAATGTGGGTGGAATATAAAACATCAACTTTCACTGGTTTGTGAAATTTCTGAAACAGGCAAAAATCTTTATAAATTATCTTATCCTGAGAGGTAGATAGGTATTACTAAGTTTATTCTCTCAGTAATTTGGAAGTTGAAGCAAAATATTAAATTGCTTGGTTCTGTTTTCAAATTTTCCACTCTGCCTTTGACTCAAGCAAGTGGGCAGTGTTTGCATTCAAGACCTAGGATCCTGCAGCTCAGGACCTCAAGATTTCAAAAATAGCATTGTATCTCAGTGTACCTAGTTTTGTACTTAGGAGAAAGAACAGGGGGAACTGGTCTCTTTCCAAAAAGTCCATGTCCAGTGGGAGCGCAGCAATATTGATTCAAATGCAAACTCTGCTGTGGCCCTGCTGTGCAGGCCTTTGGCTTGGAGAGAAAAGTAATGTTGGGAAACTCATGACACAAGATCTGGGGGTGGGGCTGGCTCCGGATGTGGTTTTATGTCAAGTTTAGATTTCACCTGACTTCATTTTAGGTCCTACATTTTTTATGAGGGAACAGGGCATCAGGAGCTGGGCATTAGGAACTGGGCATTGCGAGTGTGCAGTAAGAGACCTGCAATCAGATTGTGTTCTTTCCTTTGAATTCTGAATTTGCTGTTGGATATTTAGACACTAAGGCATTTCCTGTTAAGGGGACACTTTGTAGTTCAACAAGCTATGAACTTAGCAATGAGGAAGGCTTCAAGAAACTGAAGGTTATTTTTGTGGTTTGTTTGTTTGATGGGGGAAATCATAGCCATCCAGTCAAAACTTTACCTTATATTCCAGCAGTCTGCTTCTAGGATGTGAGGGAAAACTAGCCACATACTTGACCAACGGTAAGTAACAAATACACAGAACTTAGCATAGTGCCAGGCATGGAGGAAACACTAAAGAAATGTTCCTTTACTTTCCTTGCTCTCATTGCTCTTTTGAACCTTGAGGATGGAGTGTTCCATATCCCTTTTGTCCCTGTCTGGGGATTATTTACTCACAGTTAGATCCCAGCCGGATTGTGAGTCCCTTTGGGGACACCACACCATGTCCTATTAATTATACAATCCCTCATCCCCACCTTACAGTGTGGCACTTACACACAACAGGTGTTCAATAACTGTTAACAAATTTATAGTTGAAAGTAAGTAGGGTGTTGTTACAGTTGGAGATTTACTTCCTGTGTTCAGTATCATATTTCATTAAAAGGATCTAAATCGCTCGTTTGAGAAGGACTACCTAGAGGCGATCCATCAGCATGGCCTCGTTTGGTAACTTGCAAAACTTAACAGATTGGCTTTCCAGGCTGGGCTTTTGGATGTTTTTCATGGCACCCTTATGGTGTTGCTTTCCCACTTGGGGTTGAACTTCTGTCCCTCAAACAGCTGCTTGCTTCACGAGAATAGCCCTCGACTTGACCACAAATGAAAACTCTTGAAGGGGTAGCCCCTTTCCAATGATTTTCCAATGACTACACTGTCAGCGGGGACTTGTGATTGACAACACTGTTCCAAATTTCTATCAGCCTTTGTATTTTGAAATGATGAGGATGATTGTTCATTGAGAACATAATATATATATATATATATATATATTTTTTTTTTGCTATTGTGTCCATCTGGCTAGAAGCCCATCTCAGGGAGACTTGGGGGACACGGCTCAAACTGTGGCTCTTCCTTTAGCCTTTTAGAAGCATTTCCACTTGAGTCACTGAAGGGCTCTTAGAGCTTCCAGCTTTCCGGAAGCCATGACTTCTTAATGAAAGGTGAAATTTGACTTTTAGTTGGAGGTATTGTTATTAGCGCTGTGAAATGGGAAGGAGTGAGGAGAAAAGGCAGGTCACACCTTTTTTTTCTGAAAGTTACAGTTGCAGTTCTTTCCCTTGTTCCTGTTTTCCTCTCTTTCTCCTTTTTTTTTTTCTTTCTTCCTCCCTCATAATTTGAAATAGCAGCCGGGAGAAGGAATGCTCGAACAGTGCTCCTGGAAGCACAGCCCATCTACGATGATCATTAACAGATTTAGATGGGGTGTTTATTGAACATCCAGATTCCTGACTGCTACTCCAGACCTACCAAATCAGAAAAATCTCCACACCAGGGGATTTTTTTTTTAACAAAGAACCTTATTTTATGCTCTTTAAGTTTACAGACTATTTGGGCTGTGTTGTTGGATTCAGGGAAGCAAAATCAAGCCCAATTAAAAAAAATCTCTTAAGACCTGAATATTTCATTTTTACAAGTCATTTATAAAAATCTCTTTTTAAAAGATGCCATTTCTCCTCTGAGAAAGTATGAAGGTTCAGGCTGGCAGGTTTGTGGTAGTCCAGAAGCAATGGGGTGGGTGCTTCCTGGGCTGCCTTTCCTGGCTACCGCGGGTAAAGCGTTGCAGTAAAGCAACAACCCTGAGTGTCTTCTTAGTCTGCGTTATGTGCAACAGCACCTCTGAGGCTCCTCCTTAACTGAGATCATATGTGACTTCATCGAGAAGATGGTGCATTCCTCTATCTCTAATGGAAAAAATGAGTTTTATACAGCATGTAAATCATGCTCCCTCTCTCGAAAATCATACGGATGTAACCAAATTTAGTACTGATCTCCTGCTTAATATGGTTTTAAAAGCAGCAAGGGAATTCAAATTTCAATGGCAAAATCAATTCGTGTCATTCCACAGGACTGTTAAAAGGCTTCATTCCAAAATCGTATTTCTTTCTACCAAACCCAGACATTTGAGTCTATGAAATTGTTTAGCCTTTATTTTTTAAAAATCAGTTTACTGACATGTTTTGATGGATGCTGTATAATCATGTCTTCTATTACCAGGTATTGTTCATGCTTCTTAAAATTGACATTAATCCATTTTGCATACATAAACTATCAAATACAAGCTGGTAATGTGATCAAATTCAGCCCCATATGCAACTGGAGAACAACTTTCTATTTCTTTCTACAGGTTCTCTGTTGGCAAGCGCAAAACAAAGCATGGCCGTGAGAAGTGGATTGGAGGTGGAAACACTTCATGGTAAGAAGGAAGGTCACCACAGTGGTCATAAATGTATCTCAGGGTGATGTCAGGAGTGAGACAGGAAGCAGATGTGAGGACACCACAAATTGAAGTGACTATATGAAGAACAAACAATACTAATGATATGACAAGGGAAGATGGGAGTCATATAGTTGAGTGGTGGGAGGTTCAAGGGATAGTAGAAAGGTCCCCAAAGATGTCCATCTTCTAAAACCCGAAACCTGGCAGTATGTCACATAACATAGCAAAAGGGGCTTTGCAGATTGAATTAAAGTTAAGAGCCTTAAAATAAGAAGACTGTCCTGGATTATCCACATGGATCCAATCTAATCACAATAGTTCTTAAAAGCAGAGAATTTTCTGCAGCTGGAAATAGGAGAGAAAAGGCAGAAGGGGAAGTTAGAGCAATTCAAAGTGTGAGAAGGACTCAACCCACTACCCCTGACTTTGAAGATGAGGGGCCACAAACCAGGGAATGTGGAGGCCTCTAGAACAACCCCTGGCCAACAACTAGTGAGAAAATAGGGACCCTGGCCCCACAACCACATGGAAGTGAATTCTGCCAACAACGTAAGTGAGCCTCCAGAACCTCTGGTCTAACTGAGACCTTGATTTTGGTTTCATGAGACCCAAAGCAGAGAAGTCAGTCCAGCACCCTGGCACTTCTGACCCACAGAACTGTTAGGTAACACATGTGTGTTGCTGTGAGCTGCTACATTTGTGGTAATCTCATATGGCAGCAAGAGAAACCCATAAAAAAGGCAGTGGAGTTGTTGCCAGAGAGCTGACAAACTCCAATCTAGACTGGGTATGGGGAGACAGGCCACAGTGGTGCTTCTGGACTCAGATATATTGTTGCTTAAATCTCAGCTGACACTTAGGAGCTGAGTGATTTTACTCAGGAGACGACACCTTAATAACCCTTGATTTTCTCCTCCGCAAACTGGAAGTAATAACAGTATCTCCTACAGTAACTCACGGTGAGGCTTCAATGAGATAATGGATGTACAAGGACTTAACAGTGCCTGGCACAGAAATGGCACTGAGAGTGGCCTTTTCTAAATCAGACAAAGCAGTCTCTTGTCCCTCCAATCCAAGGACAAGTGACAATGGGCAGACTTTACTTCAGAGAAGTTGCAAAATAGCATCATCATGGAAAAGCCAGGTTCCAGCAAACCTGAAGATGGAAACAATGTGCTCAGAAAAGGTTCTAGAGCAAGTGGTGAGCCAAATGGGACTCAGCCTTATCAAATTAAAATATGCATAAAGATCAGCCGGAGACAGAGGATTCTGGGAAGATGGCAGAGTAGGGAGCATCAGGAATTTACCTCCCCACCTGGACAACAATTTCACTGTCAGGATCTTTCTGATATAACTAACTTTTGGATGTAACTTTAGGAACTCTGAAGTCTATTGAAGGCTTGCAACTTTCAGGAAAAAGCTTGGATGATAAATTATAGCTAATTTTGGTCAATTTCAGCTCTTAGTGTGTTAATAGCTACCCATCCCCCACCCTTAGCACAGTAACAGTTAACCATACCCCCATTCATTCCAGGAACATGTGCCCAGTGAATCTGCATGCAGCTTTCAGGAGCCAGGAGGGCAGAAAGACCCTATCCTCCAAATATTGGGAATTCATGCACTACTTGCTGCTTCTGATCACAGAGGTGCTGACAGAGGTGGGCAGTCATTGTTGTGGCTCCTCCCTCCTATTGTTGCGAGCCACACCCCTCTGGCTGAAATGACTTCCAAGTAATTTAAAGGAATGGCCCCCTTCACCACTCCTTTCATTTTACTATTTGTCTCCTCTCGGGAGACAAACAGTAAGTAGTGAGACATTTTAGAACAACTGCATATACAGGGTGTATTAGAAAGTGACTGTGCTATGCATGCCCAGGGAAAGGCTCCGAAAAGACCTGTGAAGACCTTAAGTTTACACCATAGGCTGATCCTTAGCGCAGAGACACCCTACAACAATGCAAAAAAAAAAAAAAATTCAATGAATAAAAACAGTAACAAAAACCCAGCAAACTCTGATGGAGGGGGGATCTGATTTCCAGAGCTACCACAGTATTATATCCAAATGTCCAGTGTTCATCAGAAAAGTTAGATGGCATCCAAAGACACAGGAAAGTATGGTGCATTAAAAGGAAAGAAATAGACAGAAACTGTTACTGAAAAAGATCTGATGGCAGATATACTAGACAAAGGCTATAAAACAACTGCCTTAAAGATGCTCAAGGAATTGAAGGAAAATGTGGAGAAAATCAAGAAAACAATATGTAATCAAAATGGAAATATCAATAAAGTTATAGAAAACTTAAAAAGAAGCCAAAAAGAAATCATGGAGTTGAAAAGTACAATTATTGAAATGACAATTTCACTACAGGGATAAAAGGCAGATTTGAATAGGCAGAAGAAAGAATCAGCAATTTGAAGATAGGGCAATGAAAATTATTGTGTCTGAGGAACAGAAAAAAACTTTGAAGAAAAGTGAATAGAGCTAAGGGACTTGTGGGATTCCAAGTGGACCAACATACTCACTGAGGCATTCCAGAAGGAGAAGAGAGAGAGATAAAGGGGCAGAGAGGGATATTTGAAGAAATAATGGCTGGAAGCTTCCAAAATTTGAGGAAAGATAAAAATATAAATATCTAAGAAGTTTAATCAGCTCTAAGTAAGATGAATTCAGAGACCAACACTGAGATACTTTCAAAAGTCAAAGACAGAGAATTTTGAAAGCAGCAAGAGAGAAAGAACACATCACATGCAAGAGGTCATCAGTAAGATTATCAGCAGATTTCTCATTAGAAACTTTGGAGGCCATAGGTAGTGGGCTGATACATACAAAGTGCTAAAAGAAACAAAACAGGTTAACCAAAAACCTATCTAGCAAAACTGTCCTTCAAAAGTGAGGGAAAAAGTAAGACACTCCCCGATAACAAAAGCTGAGGGCATTTGTTACCAATAGACTGAAGGAAATGCTCAAGGTGGTCCTGCAGGGTGAAAATGAAAGGCCACTAGACGGTAGCACAAAACTGTATGAAGAAATAAAAACCCCAATGATGGTAAATACATGAGCAATTATGAAAGCTCCTATTATCATAACAATGGTCTGTAACTGCTCTTTCTGTTTTCTACTTGATTTAATACATGATTTTCTACATGATTTAATACTAATACATTTTTTAAAACACCAATTTATTAGCCTAAAAGCTAATATTATTGTAACTTTAGCTTGTAACTGTAAATTTTTTCTACATAATTTAAGAAACTAATGCATTTTAAAAAATTATTAGCTTATGTCTGGGCATATACAATGTATCAACATGTGAAAATCAATCAATGTAATGCACCACATAAATAGAATGAAGAAAAAAAACCCCACATGATTGTCTCAATTGATGTAGAAAAAGCATTTGACAAAATTTGACATTCTTTCACAATAAAAACACCCAACAAAATAGAAATAGAAGGGAACTACCTCAGGATAATAAAAACCATACATGAAAAGCTCACAGCAAATATCTGACTGAATGGTGAAAGATGGAAAGACAAAGATACCCACTTTTACCACTTCTATTTAACTAGTACTGGAAGTGCTAGCAAGTTTAATTAGGCGAGGAGAAGAAAGAAAAGGAATCAACTTACAAAGTTAAGAAGTAGAATTATTTCTGTTCTGATCACAAATTATATGATCATAGATGTAGGAAACACTAAAGATTCCACAAAAAAACTATTAGAACTAATAAATGAATTCAGCAAAGTAGCAGGATACAAAGTCAACAGATTAAAAATCCATTGCATATCTATACCCTACAATGAACAATCTGAAAAACAAATTACAAAAACAATTCCATTTATAATAGCATCAAAAACATAAAATACTAAGGAATTAACCACAGAGGTGAAAGACTTGTACAATGAAAACTACACAAAACATTGTTGAAAGAAATTTTAAAAGATATAAATAAATGTTCATGGATTGGAAGACTTAATATTGTTAGATTGTCACTACTACTCAAAGAGATCTACAGATTCAAAGCAATCTCTATCTAAATCCTAATGACACTTTTTTGAAGAAATAGAAAACCCATCCTAAAATTCACATATACTCTCAAGGGACCCCCAAATAGACAAAATAATCTTGAAAAAAGAAGAACAATGCTTTTTTATCTCACAACCTACTGCAAAGCTATAGTAATCAAAAGACTGTGGTACTGGCATAATGACAATCATAGAGACCAAGAGAATGGAATGCAACGGAATGGAATGGAACAGATGGAATGGAATGGAACAGAACAGAACGCCCAGAAATAAGCCCTTGCATATATGGTCAAAGGATCTTTGACAAGGTTGCCAAGATCAGTCAATGAGCAAGGATAGCCTTTTCAACAAATGATTCTGTGAAAAGTAGATATCCACATGGAAAAGAATGAAGTTGGACACTAACACCATACATAAAAATTAATCTGAAATGGATCAAAGACTTGACTATAAGACCTGAAAGTATAGAACTCATAGAAGAAAACATAAGATAAAACTTCTTGACCTTGGATTTGGCAAAGATTTCTTGGATATGACACCAAAGGCACAGAAAACAAATGAAAAATTAGACAAATTGCACTGCATGAAAAATTAAAAAATTTGTATAGCAAAAGTTGATATCAATAGAGTAAGAGGCAACTCAACGAATGGGAGAAAATATTTGCAAATCAAGTATTTGATAAGGGATTAATATCCAGATTATATAGAAAACTCCTAAAACTCAACAACAAAAAACTTGATTTGAAACTGGGCAAAGGACCTGAAAAGATAATTCTTCACAGAAGATATACACGTGGCCAATAAGTACACAAAAAGATGTTCAAAATTGCTGATCATTAGAGAAATACAAATAAAAGCTATCCATTGAGATACCACCTCACACACATTAGCATGATTACTATAAAAAAAAAACCCCAAAAATAACAAGTATTGGTAAGAATGTGGAGAACTGGATCCTGTTTGTGCTGTCTGTAGGAAGGTACAATGGACATGGCTGTCGTGGAAAATGGTACAGAAGTTCCTCAAAAAATTGAAATAAAATTACCATATGATCCAGTAATTCTACTTCTGGGTATACACTCCAAAGAACTGAAAGCAGGGTCTTAAAGAGACATGTGTACATCATGTTTATAGCAGCATGATTCACAACAGGTAGAAGGTGGAAGAAATCCAGGTGTCCATCAACAGATCAATGAATAAGCAAAATATGGTATATGCACACAAGGTAGTTGTCAGCCGAGGGAGGCTGAAGATGGATTCGAGGAGGTGAGCTGCCCAACGGGAAAAATGCGCAAGGAGCCGACATGGATCAAAACCGCACTTTATTGCAGTACAAGCAGGTGGCGCAGGCGCCGGGCAGTGCTCAGGTGTAACCACTTGTCCTTTTATAATGCTAATGACATATGCGTGGTGTTCATAATGCAACGCACCCTACTGGCGCATGCGTGGTGTTCATAATGCTGACTCACGCTACTGGCGCATGCGTGATGTTCATAATGCTGACTCACGCTACTGGCGCATGCGTGATGTTCATAATGCTAACTCACGCTAATAGCGCATGCGTACATGGAGCTCTTACCAGGTGCAAGCTATTGTGAATTTTGGCCCAGGCCCAACGGCCTACTCACTTAAGGCTGCGGACAGAGGTATTATTTCAGCCTTAATAGGGAAGGAAATTCTTTGATGAACAATGAGGACATGCTAATAAATAACCCAATCACAAAAGAACAAATACTATATGATTCCAGTTATATAAATGAGATACTTAGTCAAAAACACAGAGACAGAAAGTAGAATGATGAGTGCCAGGAACTAGGGGAGGGAGAAATGAGGAGTTATTGTTTAATGGGTATAATGTGTCAGTTTTGCAAGATGAAAAGTGCTATTGAGGTGGATGGTGGTGATGTTTGCACAACACAATAAAAGTATTTAATACACTTGAATCGGACACTTAAAAATGGCAAAGGTAGTAAATTTTATGTTACATGTATTTTACTACAATAAAAAATAGAAAAAAAAAAAAAAGAAAAGAAAACCCAGAGATCTGGGTACAAAGCAGATTCGGATTCAGCAGGCGTGGTGGGGCCTCTGACTCTGCATTTCCAAGTTCTCAGGTGATGCAGGTGTTGCGGGTCCACGGCCCCCACTTGGAGTACGTGAGCCAAGGCGGCTCACCCTCTCCGCGGACACTGCAGGGCAGGGTGGTCATGAGAGGAAGGGGCTGGAATGAGGAGGGCTTGCTGGGCAGACGGAGGCAGGACTGAACGAGCAGGCTCGGCTGAGCTCTGCTGGGAAGGCGTCGCCTCCTGGGCGGTGCGGGCTCCCAGCGCGGGGACGGCCCACTCAGGCCCAGGTGTGTGTTCTGCGGCTTTCAGCACTTGCAGGCGGAGAACCGCTCAGAGGCTTCGGTGTCTCCTCACTGCCTCTCTTCTCGGAAAGCCCACGCTGGTGAGAAGACTCAGGAAGAGGGCCCGGCGGGAGGTTAAACCCAGTCTGCCTTCTCCCTGCTCCGGAGTTGAGGTGGCCAGCAGCACGGAGACAGGTAGGACACCTTTTGACAATACTCTTACCAAGAAAGTGAGGCCTTGGCTAAATATGGCCAATGCTTCCCTTTCTTTCCGGGTACTTTTATTTTTCAAGGTACTTTCACGCCTGTGATCTCATCTTGTTCTCATGGGTTTCCTCTTAAACTCTAAAGGCGTTTACAGGCAGTCCCTAGTATGGTGTTTTGCCTTCTCATGTGAAATTAAATATTTAAGCACATCTGCTGTCCCAGCGTTCTTGGAACACAAGGTGCTGAATCTTTTCCCGTCCTTCTATTCGTTGCCGTTTAAATATGAAGTGGTGTGCTCCTGACAGCCCCAGAAAGTAAACTCGGTAGAAGTTTTGTGTTATGGTCTCCAGCCTGAGTAGTCAGGGCAGATTCCTGCAGGTCGTGTAGGGCGCTGATGATGGCTTTTATAACTTGAAAAATAAAGTGAATGTGATGTGAAGACATTAGGAGAGTGGGGTGACTTGCTGGTGAAGGTTCCTGGATAGTTCTTACGCTTGTAGGATTTCTCGTGAGGGGTTAAGGTTTTTTTTTAAGGGAGGTGTTAATTTTGTTTTTCTGGTTGTTGCTGCACATAAAATGACTGAACTCTTCCAATAGTAAACACTTTATGTATGCTATTCTCCTGTTCTTGTAAAGCTAGGCAAAGTGACAGTAAAAGTACAAGAAGGCAACATTTTAATATATTTTAATATATTCATTACTGTCTGTGTTTTTGTTGTCAGTTTAAGACTGAGTCATACAGTTGCTGACTGAACTTTATGATCGAATCCTCAGGGACACAATGCATGAGTGGATTTATTATCTCACTTCTATGGGTTTAAGTGATTTAATGACAAATGAATTTTAAGGAAAAAGATGGCAGGTAATAAATATAAGATACTTCCCACCTGCTTCTGATATATGACCCAGTGGTAGTTCTGTTCACTTAGGCAAAAGATGGATCGCTTTAACCCCACCAGAAAGAACTTTTAACTGAAATATGTGAATGACAATCAGAGAAAACAGGCGAAGGTCACGTGAAGTTCCCCACAAAGACTATCTTGTCTAAACGGAGATTTTAAAAGCAAGAGGGACTTGGATATTTAAAGAGTCTTGTTACTATGAAGGAGTCAGACTGCAAGAAATTTCTAGATTATCTAGTGTGTAGTAAAATAAAGTGAAAATTAAGAATTTTGACTTTCTCTGATGCTACTGCTTGAAAGGCTGGTTTGAGAGGTTTGTTTGTTTTAAATATATCCAGGGGTTCAATGCTTTGTACTCCTCACTTGGGTAATTTTGGAGTTTCAAAAATCACTGATAACTGATTCCCACCTCCAAAGATTCTGAGATAATTGGCATGTTTTGCTGTTTGGAGAGTTTGAAGAGCTCCCCAGGTGACGCTTCTGTGGAGCAAGGTTTGAGAACTCTCCGCGGAGAAGTTCTCCACGCAGTCCTCAACTACCTGTGTAATCTACGTCACCTGGAGGGCTTGTTAAAGCGCAGATTGCTGGACCCGCCCCCAGAGTTTCTAATTCAGTAGGTCTGGGATGGAGCTCAAGAATTTACCTTTCTAGCAAGCTCCCAGGTGCTGCTGCGGCTGGTCCAGGTAGCACGTTTTGAGAGCTGTTTCTGTCGCCCATTTCCTCCGGTTACTTGATGAGAGTGTGGCGTTTAGCTGCTTTAAATTCAAATCATGATCGTCACTACAGTCTGCTGCTTCCCCACGTCTGACCCCTTGGGGAGAAACACAGTACTAGTTAGAAGCCTCAAGTTCTCTTTCCTAAACGTTCGTTTCACTTCCTGTTCTTTCCTCGTTATCCTTATAACATAAGAAAATGGAGAACAGAGGCTCTTCCCCCAGTGTGAGACCATTTTGCTTTTTTGTATCTTACTACCCAGCAGTTGGTTTAATCAGAATATAATTGCCCAGGTAGAAATCAGGTGATTTTGTAGCAGTTTATTAAATTTCTCTCCTGGAGTTCCCTATGCCTTTCCTTTGCAGCTCTTCCATCTCAGATGCTATTGTAAAATATCTAGGCCTCATGCTACCCTTGGAAATCCCAGCAAGGTAATCCTCCCTAAGTGGTGTTTCCTGTGAACTTGTTAACTTATGGCTTAAATAGTGATGAATGGCAGAGCCTTACACGAAGAGGAAGAAGTCAGCTATGAGAGCTCAAGGGCCTGTGGCAAAAACTTGAGCTTTCTTCATTTTTTGGAGATGGGAAAATGATTTAAAAGTTCTGTTTGAGAACTCTCTTCCAGGTGGTACCCCAACTCAAGCAAAATAATCAACTTCTGGGCTCCTTACCTGAAAAGTCTGGGGTTGCATCTAACCCACATCAAGTCCTGGACCCAGGGGCTCACAGAGTCTTTGACCGTGCCTAGACTTGGCTTTTTCTGTCTTGGCTTTACACCCCCCACAACCATTAGAGTCTTCCACTGCAGTGGCAAAGATGGTGCCCACCAGCCTCTGCTTTATTCTACCAGAGTTACATGCCAGGGGAAAACTCGTGCCTCTGTCTCAGTGACTCTAGCAGAATTCTCATGGTTGAGTCGGGTGGCACGCACCTGTCCCTTAACTAGTCCGTGTATGCTGTTGACATGGGGGGCATTCTGACTGCAGTGAGGACCAAGGTTGCTCTTGAAGTACAGATGAAGGGAGAGCAAAAGGCATCTAAGGCCGGCATAGCAGGGGAAGAAAAGACAGAGTATAACACGTGGGGCATGTTCACGATCCTTAATGACCTCCATGGCCCGGGAATTGTCCGATGAGAACAAAGGTCAGTGGGATTCCGGGGGCCCGGTGGAGAGAGCCGCTGGATCGGGGCACATCCTGGGGCTCTCAAAGGCAGGTGTGGGAGGAGCTTGGAGTGACAGCGGTTACCCGCTATGCAGCTATTTCAGTGTTTTACCAACCAGTGTTGCTGTTCCTGTGTGTAACTCCACACACCAGCTCTGGTACATGGTCAAATAAGAGTCCATGCTGTAGGGCAGAAAGAACCCAAGAAGCCTCTCAGAAATCCCTCTGAGAAACTGTAATAAAAGTACCTTGAACTTGTAGACCACTTATTTTTAACTTTGAAAGTTCATTCATGTATTCAGTGTGTTTTTGCAGCAACATGGATGATCCTAGAGAATGTCATTCTAAGTGAAGTAAGCCAGAAAGAGAAAGAAAAATACCATATGAGATCGCTCATATGTGGAATCTAAAAAACAAAAACAAACAAAAACAAAGCATAAGTACAGGACAGAAATAGACTCATGGACAGAGAATACAGACTTGTTACGGGGGGGGTAGAGGGTGGGAAGGGATAGACTGGGATTTCAAAATTGTAGAATAGATAAACAAGATTACACTGTATAGCACAGGGAAATATACACAAAATGTTATGATAAATCAGAAAAAAAAAGAATATATAGTGATGTTTAACTTTTGAACTATAATAATAAAATGAACATTTGTGGACTTATCAGCCAGCCTAAGAAAAATAAATAAATAAATAAAGAAAGAAAAGTACTCATACAAGTAAGTGAACAAACACCACCTGAGTGGAAGTAGCCAGCAGTGGGCTGCTTGAATGCGCAGCAAGAAGTTTCTTTCAAGTCTCATGTTCATCCAGGTTTTGTATTCTAGTCCTCATTATGTATTTACTCTGCTTGTTGAAATAATATTTTAAGTGTTCCGCTAGTAAGAACACAGTTCTGTACTCGTAGGTTATTGACAAGATGATGTTACATTGAATCTACCCATTTGTGACAGTTGAGCCAAATCAGAGCAGATTAAACATCACCCAACATAACAGGTTCAACACTGAGGGAATTTCTCTTCTGTGTCTTAGTGTCAAGTCTTTCAAGAGCCCAGAATTATGTAATGTGTCGGTACAGATGATGACAGTATTTTTTATTGTATTATACACTTTGGTAAGTTTGAGTTTCAAAACCATCACCAAAGACTGCTGTCCCCAAGTGATACCCATAGCTGACCAGCACAATATTTTCGGGCTCCAGTGGCCATTCTAATCGCATTTTCAAGAGTCCCTTGTGTTATTGGCAGATTGAAACTTCTTTGTTGCGTCAACCTCTTTGATCACCTGTGGGAAATACTCATCAAAGGAATTTTTAGGTGAAGGAAAATGGTGAATGGTAAAGGCCTTATTTTGCCATGAATGCTATAATTTTTCTTAACAAAGTTACAAAAGGGATCTAGTTTATGTGTTAATACACACCAGACTAGTTTGTGGGCATCTAAGAATCCCAAGTGGCCACTATGATGAATACCAGTAGTTCTGTCACCACCAGTGATTTGCGTTTAATCTGTTCTCCTGAGAGTGGCTTGTCTGATACACTGTTGATGCTGTGACCATTGGCTTCCTTCAATTCCAAAGTACATTTTGCAGTCAGTCACTGAAAATTAACTTTTTGAGTCTTTGAGCTTGTGTATGTTCTTCCTTATCCACACACATACACTCAAAAGAAAAACAAAACAGACAGACTGACATGGGAAAGCAGTATTTTGCCGATTGTGCAAAGATTTGACGAAGCTTTGTGGGGCTTTGTTAGGCTATATACTGGAGAGATTTTTATTCTGTAACTTTGTAAGAAATGACACATCAATTTCTCTAAACTCATATTCCACTCCTCTGAGTGCCTGGTTTGCCTGGCTGGTGAGAAATTTAGTTTTAACCGTTATTGGGTTTCCGTGTCCCCGAGAGCTATCTAAAGGTCCCAGAATCTTAAATTGACCACTTTCGAGAGCCCTGTGGGTGTCACAGTTGTTCTCTGTGCACCTCTGTCCCTTTATCATTTTCACCCACCAGAAAGAATCTCTCCCATTTCATGAGAAAATCTTTCTCTCTCCCCTTATGTCTATCTTCTCTTCTCCTCTGGCCCAGTTAGCATAATCACCCCCAGCATTTCCTTTTTCTTTTTTTTTTTTTTGTGGAGAACAAAAGCGGACTGCTGTTTTCACCCTCCAACACATACATCTTTATGTAATGGAATAAAAATGC